GAACAGTCACAGCACTACAGCCCCTTTCTAGGACATGCCTGAAGGACAGTGATAAAGGGAAATCTTCCCAGTGGGCAGAACTTTGAGCAGTACACCCTGTTGTGCACTTTTCTTTGAAGAAGAAGTGGCCAGATGTGCAATTATATACCTATTCACGGGCTGTAGCCCATGGTTTGGCTAGATGGTCATGGACTTTAAAGAATCATGATTGGGAAAATGGTGACAAAGAAATTTGGGGAAGAGGTGTGTGGATGGACCTCTGAGTGCTCAAAAACTGAAAATATTTGTATCTTACATGAGTGCTCACCAATGGGTGACCTCAGCAGAGGAGGATTTTAATAATCAAGTGGATAGGATGACTCATTCTGTGAACACCACTCAGCCTCTTTCCTCAGCCACCACTGCCATCGCCCATCAGGTTCGTGAACAAAGTGGCTATGGTGGCAGAGATGGAGAATATGCATGGGCTTTGCCACATGGACTTCCAATCACCAAGGCTGATCTGACTATAGTCACTGGTGAGAGCCCAATTTGCCAGTAACAGAGACTAACACTGAGCCCTCAATATGGCACCATTCCTTGGAATGATCCGCCGGCTACTTGGTGGAAGGCTGATTACACTGGACCTCTTTCATCAAGGAAAGGGCCACAGTTTGTCCTCACTGAAATGGACACTTACTCCAAAAATGGGTTTGCCTATCCTGCATGCAATGCTTTTGCCAAGAGTAGCATGCATGGACTCATGGAATGCCTTATTAACCATCATGGTATTCCACACAGCATTGCCTCTGACCAAGGCACTCACTTTATGACTAAAGAATTGAGGCAGTGGGCTCATGTTCATGGAATTCACTGGTCTTACCAAGTTCCCCATCATCATCAAGTAGCTGGATTGACAGAATGGTGGAATGGCCTTATGAAGTCAAAATACAATGCCAACTAGATGACAATACTTTGCGGGACTAGGGCAAAGTTCTCCAGAAGGCTGTGTGTGCTCTTAATCAGCACCCAGTATATGGTACTGTTTCTCCCATAGCCAGTATTCACGGGTCCAGGACTCAAGGGGTGGAAGTTCAAGTGGCATCACTCACTATCACCCCTAATGATAAATTCTGCTTCCTGTTCCTGTGACATTACGTTCTGCTGGCCTAGAGATCTTAGTTCCAGAGGGAGGAATACTGCAACCAGGAGATACATCAATGATGCCATTAAACTGGAAGATTGCCACCTGGCTCCTCCTACCTCTCAGCCAACAGGCCAAGAGGGGGGTTACAGTTTTGGCTGTGGTGACTGACCCGGACAGACTATCAAGATGAAATCAGTCTACTACTTCACAGTGGAGGTAAGGAAGAGTATGCAAGGAATACAGGAGATCCCTCAGGGCATCTCTTAGTATTACCATGCCCTGTGATACCAAACTACAGTGGCCCAATCCAGGCAGGACTACAAATGGCCCAGACCCTTCAGGAATGAAGGTTTAGGTCATTCCGGGTAAAAACCCACGGCCCACCAAGGTGCCTGCTGAAGGGAAAGAATATACAAAATGGGTAGCAGAAGTAGTCATCAATACCACCTATGGCCATGTGACCAGTTGCAGGAATGAGGGCTGTATTGGTTGCATTTCCTCCTCATTTTGTTAAGAACATGTTGTGCATGTATACACTTGTACTAAGAAAATATCTTCATTTTATTTCCTTTCTTTTTTCTTTATCATGTGTAATAAGATTTACTGACTTCATATCAGCATTTAAGTTTTGTCAACTCTATGTAACAGCATTTGGGCTGGGGACTGAGGCACTGCATGAAGGACAGCTGTATTATGTTAGGCATAATTATTACCTTATTAATGTCTTTATTTGAAGATTATGAATGATTTCAGATGTGTATGGGTTCAAGTTCACAAGGGGTGGCCTTGTGATGGTTAATACTTAGTGTCAACTATTTTCTTGGGTGCGTCTGTGAGGGTGTTGCCAAAGGTGATTAACACTTGAGTCAGTGGACTAGGAGACGTAGTCCCACTCTCAATCTGGGTGGGCACCATCTAATCAGCTGTCAACTCAGCTAGGACAAAAGCAGGCTAAGTCTTCTGATCTTCCTCTCTCTCCTGTGCTGTATGCTTCCTGCCCTTGAACATCAAACTCCAAATTCTTCAGGTTTTGGACTCTTGGACCTACACCAGTGGTTTGACAGAGACTCTCAGGCCTTTGGCCACAGACAGAATGCTGCACTGTCAGCATCCCTACGTTCTGGGATTTGGACTGGCTTCCTTGCTCCTTAGCCTGCAGACAGTCTATTATGGGACTTCACCTTTTGATGATGTGAGTAAATACTCCTTAATAAACTCCTTTTCATACATACATCTATCATATTAGTCCTGTCCTAGAGAACCCTGACTAATACAGTGGGCTTAAAATATTCAGTAGTAGACTATACTGTAAACAGATGTGCTATCACCCAGGCTTTGTTGTTCTACCTATAGAGCACAGGCACAGAATATTTACTGTAATCCTTACAGGCCCTAGGATTTTTGGCATGGTAAATGAGCACTGGCTTAAAGTCATTAGCTGCATTAGCCCATAAGCAGAGAGTAAGCTTGTCCTTTGAAGCTTTGAAGTCAGGCATTGACTTTACTCTAGCAATGGAAGTCCTATATGGCATCCTCTTTCAACAGAAGACTGTTTCATGTGCTGATATACTGAAAATCTGTTGTTTGGTGTAGCCACCTTCATCACTTATCTCAGCTAGATCTTCTGGACAGCCTGCTGCAGCTTCTATATCAGCACTTGCTGCTTCACCTTGCACTTTCATGTTATGGGGAGAGCTTTCTTTAAATCTCATGAACCAATCTCTGCTAGCTTCCAACTTCTCTCCTGCAGCTTCCTCTCAGCCTTCAAATAATTAAAGAGACCTAGGCCCTTGCTCTGGATTAGGTTTTGGCTAAACCGAATGTCATGGCCGGTTTGGTCTTCTACCGAGACCACTCAAACTTTCTCCCTATCAGCAATAAGCCTGTTTTGCTTTATCATTCATGTATTCACTGAAGTAGCACTTTTAATTTTCTTCAAGAACTGCTCCTTTGCTTACAAAATGTGATGCATTGTGCAGAAACTGTTTAATGCAATAGGAGTAGCTTTTGGTCCATCTTGACTTTCAACATGTCTTTCTCACTAAGCTTAGTGATTTATAGCTTTTGATTTAAAATAAAAGGTATGGCTGGGCATGGTGGTTCATGGCTGTAACCCTAGCACTATGAGAGGCTGAGGCAGGCGGATCATGAGGTCAGGAGTTTGAGACCAGCCTTATCAACACAGTGAAACCCTGCCACTACTGAAGATACAAAAAAATTAGCTGGCCGCAGTGGTGCATACCTGTACTCCCAGCTACTCAGGAGGCTGAGGCAGGAGAGTAGCTTGAACCCAGGAGGAGGAGGTTGGAGCGAGCCAAGATGGTGCCACTGCACTCTAGCCTGGGTGACAGAGTGACACTCTGTCTCAAAAATAAATAAAAATGAAATAAAATAAGAGGCATGTGACTCTTCCTCTCACTCAAACATTCAGAGGCCATTATAAGGTTCTTAATAGGCCTGACTTTACTACTACTGTATTTCAGAGAAGAAGAGGGCCTGAGATGGGAAAATGACTGGTCGGTGGAACTGTCAGAATGCACACATTTTTTCTTCTCATATGGAAGTGGTTCGTGGTACCCCAAAACAATTATAATCGTAACATCAAGGACCACCATAACAGATACAGTAGTAATACTAAAAAAGTTTGAAATATTTTGAGAATTACTGAAATGTAACACAGAAACATGAAGTGAGCATGTGATAAGGAAAATGGTGCAAACAGACTTGTTCAATGCAGGGTTGCCACACACCTTCATTTTGTAAAAAAATGCAAAATCTACAAAGTGCAATAAAGCGAAGCACAATAAAATAAGGTTTGCCCCTCTAGACCCAGTACTCAATAAAATGCTATCAAAAAGAATCCAGTTAACATATTAAAAAGCATTATATACCATGAACAAGAAGGATTTATATCAAGAATTCCAAGTTGGTTTAACATACAAAAATCAGTCCACCCTGGCCAGGCATAGTAGCTCAAGCCTGTAATCCCAGCACTTGGGGATGGTGAGGTGGGCAGATTGCTTGAGCCCAGGAGTTTGAGACAAGCCTGGGCAGCATGGTGAAACTCTGACTATATAAAAAATACAAACCTTTAGCTAGGCATTCGTGATGGCTGGCGCCTGTTGTCCTAGCTACTTGGGAAGCTGAGGTGGAAGGTCACTTGAGCCCAGTTGGGCAAGGCTGCAATGAACCATGACTGCGCCACTGCACCCCAGCCTGGGTGACAAAGCAAGACCCTGTCTCAAAACAAAACGAAACAAAACAAAACAATAACAACAAAAAACCAATCAATCCAAGTAATTTAGCATGTTAACAAACAGGATACAGAACAAAAGCTATGTAATCTCCATATATGTAGGAAAAAATCCCTGAAAAAAAAAAATTTCCTTTCATGGCAAAAACAGTGACCAAGCTAGGAACAGAAAAAAATGTCCTTAGTCTCATAAAAGATATCTGTAAAAAATCCACAGGAAACACCATACTTAATGGTGAAAGGCTAAAATCTTTCCCCCAGAATGCTTTGTCAAGAACAAAACAAGGATATATGCTCTTATTACTTCTATTCAACACTATACTAAAGTGTTCTAGCCAAAATAATAAAGCAAGAAAAACAAAACACATCCGGATTGGCAAGGAAGAAGCAAAACTCTCTTTTTATACAAATCACATAATCTTGTGATATATAAATTTAATTTAGATTATCACTGTATAATCTTGGATATTTGCATATAATCTTATATACATAATTCTAAGGAATCTATATACAAATATTAAGAGCTAATAATCAAGTTCACAATGTTACAAGATACTAAATCAATATACAAAAGTGAATTTTATTTCGAACCAATAGAACAAAACAATTCCAAAATGCAATTTAAAAAATCACATTTACAATGGCATCAAAGAATGAAATACTTATAAAAAATAAACTTGGAAAAGTAGAAGAGTTATACACTGAAAACCAGAAACATAATGAAGACTTAATAGGAACATGTCCTCTGTTTACAAACTGAAAAACTTAATATTGTTAAGATGGTAATACTCCCCAAACAGGTTCAACACAATCCCCATCTAAATCTCAGATGGCAGTTTTACAGAAACTGTCAAGCTGATCCTAAAATTCACATGAAAATGCAAGGGACCTTGAATAGCCAAAATAATCTTGAAAGAGAACAAAATTGGAGGATTAGTACTTTCTAATTTCAAAGCTTACTATAAACACAATAGTCAAGACTAGGTATTACTGGATAGACATGTAGAACAATGGAAAAGAATTCAGTCCAAAAATAAATGTATTTATACACAGTTAATTTATTTTTGATGAGTACCAAAGCAACTCAGTAGGAGAAAGAATAATTTTTTCAACAAATTATACTGGGGTGACTGGATATATCAATGCAAAATATGAAGCTGAACCTCTACCCCACACTATATACAAAAATTAACTCAAAGTGGATCGAAGATCTAAATATAGGAGACAAAATTATAAAACTCTTAGAAGACATATGTGCAAATATTATGACCTTGGATTAGGCTATGATTTCTTAGATCTGACACTAAAAGCACAAACAAGAACAAAATGGATAAATACAACTTCATGAAAATTAAACATTTTAAGCTTCAAAGGACACTATCAAGAAACGAAGTCCACACAATGAGAAAAAAATATTTCTAAACCATATGTCTTACTAGGGTCCAATATCCACCATATATGAAGAACTCTCACAATTCAACAAAGACATGCTAAATTTTAAAAATGGGCAAATGATCTGAATAGACATGTCTACAGAGACGATGTTACTAATGGCTTGTTAAGTACATGAAAAGATGCTTAGCATGATTAGTCACTGGGAAAATGAAAATCAAAACATTGAGATACTATTTCATACCCAGTAAGATAACTATAATAAAAACGAATGTAGATAATAACAAGTGTTATGGAGGATATGAAATGTTGGTAGTAATGCAAAATGCTACAGCTACTTTGGAAAACAGATCAGCTGTTCCTCAAAAACGTAAATATAACACAGAGGAAGTGGTGAATGCATGCAGCCCTAGCTACTCAGGAGACTCAGACGGGAAGACTGCTTGACCCCAGGTATTTGTCCAGCCTGAGCAACATAGTGAGACTCCATTTCCATACACAAACACAAAGTAGAGTTTTCTACTGTTTAACTGCACAAGCCCAAAACTTGAATACAGTGTTAAATAGCAGGGGAAGAGGAGAATAATGTTTGTTCCAGTTTTAGTTAGAATGCTGCTTGGTGTTTCCATATTAAGTATTATGTTTGATTTAAACCTAGGATATATGTGTTTTACATTAAAAAAAAAATCAATTCCTGTTTTCCTGAATATTCATTTTTTGTTCCTCTTTAGAATAACAAGTAAATAATATCAAATGATTTCCTAAAATTGAACTACTTTTGCATTACTGGAATAAATGTCATGACTGTCATGTATCATTTTCTTAATGTAGCTTAGGATTCTGTTTGATGCTTTTGTATACTGATACACGTGAAATTGTTCTGTAGTCATGTGTATGTACCTGTGGTGTGATCTTCATATGATTTTTATCTAGATTAATACCATACTCAAAAATAATTTGAAAACTGTCTTCTTCCATGTTCTGGAAAAATTTATAAAGCATTGAGATGATCTGATCTTAAAAGTTTTGTTAAAATATTCCTGTGAAATCTTCTGAGCTTGGTGCTTTTAGTGAGCTTTCTTTATGCCTTTTCATATTTCTTCAGAAAAAACTGATCTATTTAACTTTTCCATTTCTTCTGGGACAATTTTAACAAAGTGGATTTTCCAAGGAAATAACCCATTTCACCTAAGTTGTGCAAAATAAAATCATTTTAAAAATTATCTGTTTCAATAGTTATCCTCCCCTTGTCATGTCTTACATTTTACTACTTTCTTTGTTACCCTCTTCTCTTCCTCCCATTCCTACCCCTACCAATTAGGTTAACTAGTGGTCTGTCTACTTCGTTGACTTTTTCAAAGAACCAATTTTTTTAAACTTACTTTTTAGTACTATTGTTTTTGACTTCAAGCTCATTAATTTTTTGCTTTAATCTTTATTATTTCCTTCATTGTTCTTTATTCTTATTTGTGATGTTTCCTAGCTTTCTTTTGATGAAAATGTAACTTATTTTTCTTTAATTAATGGCTGTAAATACATAAGGCTGTTGAGTCTTTAGAAATTCTGAAACTTTGCTTTCTTCACTTTACTCCTAAAATTGCTTAAAAGAGCATTTACAATGCAGGTAAATAAGATTTTTAAAATGTTTTGTTATTGATGTCCATCTTTATTGCAGTATAATAAAAAATTTTTTTGGTATTATTTCTACTTTATGGAACTTAGGATTTCTTTTTGACAATATATAAAATTTTTTTGGTGAATATTCTATGTATTCTTGGGAAGAAATTATATTTCATGTTATTTGAGAATCGAGTTCAATATATATTCATAAAATATCCCTGGCTGTGCTTTTAGGTCTTTTATATCCTCACTTATTTTAGATTCACTTCACTTATCTTGGACTAAAAATGATGTGTTAATTCTGTGTATTTGTCCTTCTAAATTCTCTGTAGTTTCTGTTTATGAAAATGGTTGCTAATGTTATCTGATACACAAATACTAGCAGATGTTACATCTACATTATGATTTATAGTCTTTAACACTATGAAGTAGCCCTTTCCCCCCTCTAATTTTTACCCTGGCTGACATCAGAATTGATCTTGCTTTCTTTATTGTTTTCATTTGCTGTCCATACCTTTTCTCACTCCTTTTAGTCTTTTAAAATTATTTTGTTTTCTTCTGAATATATACAGCTCAAACCCGAGTCTTGCTTCATGAACCATTCTGGCCATCTGTTCAATAGGTGAGTTCAGTGTTTTTACACGTCCTACAATGACTCATATATTAGTGTCAGCTTACAGAATTTTTAATTTTTCTTTCTTCATGTGGTCCATTTTCTTTGCTTTGTAAAATTTTCAGTATTTAAGATAGTTCATCTTTTTATTGATTACCAGTTTTACCTACTACTTCTTATGATGCCATTAGTTCCCCTTTTCCTTAGTTAGGTTGTTTGGTATGCAGGTTTCAAATGATACCTTTGATTCCTACACAATACCTATGTGACACTCAGTGAATTTTTCCTACTTCATTTCCCACTCTTCTCAACCTTCACTCTGCTTTAGCCTTAGATAACATATGGCCAATGCTCACAATCACTCCTTTTGCCATTTATTAATTGCATGAAATATTCCATTGAGTATGAGGGTGGGCAAGTAGGGGATATATGTGGCCCATCATCTTTTGTAGATAAAGTTTTATTGAAACACACCCATACTAATTCATTAATATGCTGTCTATGGATATTTTTGTTATAATGGCAAATATGGAAAACTGTAATAGAGACCATATTGCCTGCAAAATCGACAATATTTACTCTCTGTGTCCTTTACAGAAAGTGTTTGCTGACTACATCTCCAGATTATTCCAGTAGTACTTTAAATACAGTATTTATTTAGCTTTTGCATGTTTAATTATGTTTTGACCACTGTCATACATGAAATACAACTTGACTGCACACAAAAGTTTCACTTATTCTTTAACTTCTTTGAAAATGTTGCTCTGGGGTTGTCTTTCTTTAAATGTTCTTGTTGAGAATTTTGATTTATCTGATTTTTATCTTTGTGACTTAGTATTTCTGTCTTGAGGTCCATTGGGTTTCCCTTCTTAAAATTATCATAGTTTTACCAGATGTCTCAAAGTTTGCTACTCTGTGTCAATTATCCAAGGTACATAGTGAGCTATATAGTTTCAAATGTATTTCTGGAAAGTTTTCTCAAATTATAGTTTCAATATGTTCCACTATTTTGTTTTTTTCTTTGGGGCTCCCATTATACCTGTACTGAATTTTTTGTTGTTCGATCATTGTTTTACCAACAACTTTTTTTCTCTACTGTTTCTACAATTTTATTTCATTTTCATTCTCTTTGCCATTTTCATAGCTTTCTCCAAAGACTCTTATATTCTTAGTCAAGTCTGTTCTCCTTTGAAATTAAGCCTTTATTTTTAAGAGGATTTCTTTTTCTAAAATTACATTCCTAAGTTAAGTCTCAGTTCCCATCTTCCTTTTCATCTGTTTCTTTTTGAATATCTAGATTTTTTATCAGGTGTTTTATCATATCTGTCAGTGCTTCTTTTAAGAATATACAATTCACTTTGAAGTGTTATGATGATGTATCATTCTTCTGTTTTTCTACTTGTTTTGTTTTTAGAGAGAATTTCTTATGTCCTATATTCTATTCAATTTGAATTACTTTATATTCCCAAACCAGCAATTACTGTTATACACAAAAAACTGCCGTATACAGAAAGAATCTGGATGAAAATAATCCTTATGCTAGTATAGTATATTTTCTTTAATTAATAGTGCATTTTGAATGGTAGAGTAGAATGAAGGGTTGATGTGCTTTCAGTTTTGTGATTCTCTTTTGTTTCTACAGGACCCTTAATTTATTTCATTTATTAACAAGATTCTAAGTAATATTCCTTCTAAATCACTCTTGTCTTCTTCAGAAAAGGTACCTTGCCAAGACTGCTACCTCTGATCCTGTGATTTTAAGGCTCTTCTTTTTTATTTCCTAGTATCAAGTACTCAGACTTCAGGGATTTTTTCATGGGATACAGGGATTTTTAGGGAAGTGATATATTATGATGATACTGTAATGAAGGATACATGACTATGTATTTGGCAAACCTATAGAACCGTAAAACATATGCAAAAGGATCCTAATGTAAACTATGAACTTTAGTTAACAATAATGTATCAATATTTTGTTCATCAATTGTAGCAAATGAAATACACCAAGGAAAGGTGTTACTGGGGAAACTGAGGGGATGGGCGAAGTGATTATATGGGAATTCTTTACTTCCTGTTTAGTTCTTCTATAAACCTAAATCTGTCCTATTAATTGAAAATTAAAACAAAACAAAAAATTGAATTAAGTGAAAATCTAGTATTTGACTTCATGTTTTTTTCCTTTAAAAAGCATTCAGTAGATGGCACCAGAGATCTTTTGAAATAAGAAATCACTAGATGCACTGTATAATTCATAATGCTTAGTTCTGATGTTGATACATGCTCGAGATCCTATTTATTCATTAATGAATAATATAATTGATGCTCTGAGAAAGGTGTGTTGAAGACAAATTTAGCTGCAAGTTTTATCATTCAGTAAGTAAATAATCATGGAAATGTAGGAATGCAGATCTGCAGAATTATGGAGCAACAGTAATTCTACATTACTGGCGAATTTTTAAATTCCAACTCACATTTTGACAACCACATAGCACCTTCATTTTGCACTTCTTTACTACCAGTGAGTATCTCATTAGTAAAACTGTTTTTCTCCACAGATTAAAAGCATTCACGAAACATAGTATCAAGGTATTTTAAAATATATTTTCTCCTCAGGCTAGGACAGAATAAAGTATTAAGTCTTTCTAAAATACAGAGGGTGAAAACTAATTAATTAGCCACTCTGTAACTAATTGCCCACTCACCGGCATTCAAACTGACATACTCAATATGCAGTTTCATAGAGAACAAATCAAGCAGTGCTAACTAAAAAAAAAAGTGATTTTATACAGATGCCTGGTTATTATATATTTTGCCCATTAATGAAGTCCCAATACTATATATGGCCACTTTGGTAGGTATAGAACAAGTAAAAAGAAATAGAAGTAACATCTGGAGAGAAGACTGAAATACATTCTTGTTCTTCCAGATTTAGAATCCAATTCTCAGAAAACAAATTATCAATGATGGCAGTGCTGAAACAACACAAATCAAATATATTAACCATTAATTGCCATTACAGTCTTTTGTACCTTGGAAATGAATGACTACTCAACATGTATTTCCATGAAAAAAAATATTACCCAGAGTTCCAAATGAATTAATCAGTAATATGGTTTAGATGTTTTGTCCCCTCCAAATCTCATGTTGAAATGTGACCTGCAATGTTAAAGGTGGATCTAATGGGAGGTGTTTGGGTTATGGGTCAGATCCCTCAAAGATAGCTTGGTGCTAACCTCGCAGTAATGAGTGAATTCTCACTCTATGAGTTCACGTGAAATTTGGCTGTTTTAAAGAGCTTGTACCTTTCTCCTTTCCTCCCTCTCCCTTTCTCTCTCATTCTTCATCCCTCACCATGTGATACACCAGCTCCTGCTCTGTCTTCTGGCATGACTATAAGCTCCCTGAGGCTCTCACCAGAAGTGGACACTGGCACCACACTTCTTGTGCTGCCCGTAGAACTGTGAGTCAAAATAAACCTCTTTATAAATCACCCAGTCTTAGTTATTCCTTTTTGGCAATGCAAACAGACTGACATGATCAATAAATTTTTAGAACACAATTTAACTGCAGTTGAAAAACAACAAAAACATGGAATGAAATTAAGTGTAGGTATACAGTAATTGAAAAGCAATTTTGGAATTAAATCCTCTGACGTATATGACCCATTACTGGGTGATAAAAGAACTATGACAACTGAAAGATGTCTGATTTGTCCAGAAGTATTAAATAAGCATACTAATCTTAACTTATAAGAGTAAACTATTCACCTATACCTTTGGAAATACACACTGGGAAATATATAGCTAATGATTTCCAATCTTTTCTAATTCCCTACTTCTGATTCAAAGACACTGTCAATAAGAAGCAAGTAGCTTGGCGTGGTAATTTTTATAAAGAGTAATATCAATTTGATCCAAATATAATATTAATGTGTTTGACCTACAGTCTTAGTGGAGATAATTATATAATGTCTTAAGGCTTTTTGAAATGTTAAAAATAGCTCCTAAACTTTTATCCACTTTTCAGGACTACTAAAATTCTGATCTACCAGATTTTACATAAAATAGAATCCAGTCTTATAATGACAAAAAAAAAAAAAGAAACAAGGATCCAGAAACATAAAATCAGAGATAGTGGCATAATGGCAGAGCTGAGAACACTGGTTTTCTATCTCTCAGTACATTATTTTTTTCCACCAGATGATGAGGTCTCATCAACAAAAACAATAAAACCTGTATTGCTTTTTATTCAAACCTATTTAGTTCTTGAGTACAAATAGTTTGAAGAGAATGCTCAGATAGCAAAAGGATACTGCAGAATCTAAATCTATTTGGTTTCTGAATTTTCAATAGCAAGGACTTTCTTTGAAAATTTATCCAAGATGGCCAAATAGGAACAGCTCTGGAGTGCAGTTCCCAGTGAGAACACAGAGGGTGAGTGACCACTGCATTTCCAAATGAATTTTTACTGCCCCAAATCCAGGAGATTCCTGGGTGGAAAAGCGCCATGAGTCTCCAGCACGGCTGTTTCAGCTGGTGCAACAGGTCTCCACATAAAAACTCACACAAATCTGCGTGCCTTTTCAACTGGCACCTGGAATACCTAGGAGACAGTCACCCATTTGACTGAAAAAAAGGGAGCTGAAACAGGGAGCCAGGTGATCTGGCTCAGCGGGTCTTATCTCCACAAGGCCAGCAATCTGAAACGCTCTGGATTGAGAGTTTCACAGCAAGCACAGCTGGACCTGGGACGGTCTAGCTCTGCGGGTAAAAGGGCATCCACCATTACCCAGGTGGTCTGCCATTACAGAGACAGCTCACCATTACTGAGGGAGATTTTCATTACCAAGGCAGTTCTAACTAAACCTCTATAAACAAAACCGCAAGGAAGTTCACATAGCAGCTGGGCAGAGCCCATAGCAGCTCAGCAACACCTCTACTGGCAAACTGTGAACTAGGCTACCTCCCCACTGGGCGGGGCATCTCTGAAAAAAGGCAGCAGCACGTCAGGAACTTATAAATAAAGCCCCACCTTCCCAGGACAGAACACCTGGGAAAAAAAGGTGGTTATGGGTTCCACTGCAGCAGACTTAAATGTACCTGCCCAGCAGCTCTGAAGGGAACAATAGAGCTCACAGCTCAGCACTTGAGCTCCTGTAAGGAACAGATTGTTTCCTCAAGCAGCACCCCGACCCCTGTATATCCAAAGAGACACCTCATAGAGAAGAGCTCAGGTGGACATCTGGCAGGTATCCTTCTGGGACAAAGATAAGAGAAAAAGAAACTGGCAGCAACCCTTACTGTTCTGCAGCTGCTGCAGGTGATCCCCAGGCAAGTAGGGTCTGGAGTAGGCCTCCAGCAGACCTATAGCAGAGGGGCCTGTTAGAAGGAAAACTAAAAAACAGAGAGAAGTAACTGTGACATCAACAAAAAGAACGTCGACTCAGAGACCCCATCTGAAAATCACCAACTATAACAACTACAGGTAATCCACACAGATGGGAAAAAACCAGTGCAAAAAGGATGAAAACACCCAAAACCAGAATGCCTCTCCTTCTCCAAGGGATCACAACTTCTCACCAGCAAGGGAACAGGCAGGATGGAGAATGAGTCTGATGAATTGACAGAAGTAACAGGCTTCCAAAGAGGGTAACAACAAACTTCTCTGAGCTAAAAGAACATATTCCAACCCAATGCAAAGAAACTAAGAACTTGTAAAAAAGGTTTGAGACAATGCTAAAGAGAATAAATAGTGTAGAAAAGAATATAAATGAATTGATGGAGCTGAAAAACACAACATGAGAGCTTCGTGAAATATACACAAGTTTCAATAGCCAAATTGACCAAGCAGAAGAAAGGATATCAGAGACTAAAGATCAACTCAATGAAATAAAACAAGAAGGCAAGATTAGAGAAAAAAGAGTAAAAAGAAATGAACAAAGCCTCCAAGAAATAAAGGGATTACGTGAAACGACCTAATCTACATTTGACAGGTGTGCCTGAATGTGACGGAGAGAATGAATACAAGCTGGAAAATACTCTTCAGGATATTATCCAGGAGAACTTCCCCAAATTAGCAACGCATGCCAATATTCAAGTCCAGGAAATACAGAAAACACCAAAAAGATATTCCTCAAGAAGAGCAACCCCAAGGCACATAATTGTCAGATTCACCAGGGTTGAAATGAAGGAAAAAATGTTAAGGGCAGCCAGAAAGAAAAGTCGGATTACCCACAAAGGGAAGCCCATCAGACTCACAGCAGAGCTCTCTGCAGAAACCCTAGAAGCCAGAAGAGAGTGGGGGCCAATATTCAACATCCTTGAAGAAAAGAAGTTTCAACCTAGAATTTCATATCCAGCCAAACTAAACTTCATAAGTGAAGGAGAAATAAAATCCTTTACGAACAAGCAGTTGCTCAGAGATTTCATCACCACCAGGCCTGCCTTACAAGAGCTCCTGAAAGAAGCATTAAACATAGAGAGGAACACCGGTATTAGCCCCTCCAAAAACGTAACAAATGGTAAAGAGCATCAACACAATGAAGAAACTGCATCAACTATTGGGCAAAACAGCCAGCTAGCATCAAAATGGCAGGAATCAAATTCACACATAACAATATTAACCTTAAATGTGAATGGGCTAAATGCCCCAATCAAAAGACAGAGACTGACAAATTGGATAAAAAGTCAAAAACCATCGGTGTGCTGTATCCAGGAAACCCATCTCACATGCAAGGATACACAGAGGTTCAAAATAAAGGGATGGAGAAAGATATATCAAGCAAATGGACAGCCAAAAAAAAAAGCAGGAGTTGCAATCCTAGTCTCTGATAAAATAGACTTTAAAATAACAAAGATCAAAAGAGGCAAAGAAGGACATTACATAATGGTAAAAGTATCAATGCAACAAGAAGAGCTAAGAATCCTAAATATATATGCACCCAAAACAGGAGCATCCAGATAAATAAAGCAAGTTCATAACAACCTACAAAGAGACTTAGACTCCCACACAGTAATAGTGGGAGACTTTCACACTCCACTGTCAATATTAGACAGGTCAAGAGACAGAAAATTAACAAGGATATCCAGGATTTGAACTCAGATCTGGGCCAAGCAAACCTAATAAACATTTACAGAACTCTCTATCCCAAATCCACAAAATACACATTCTTCTCAGCACCACATCACACCTACTCTAAAACTGACCACATAATTGGAAGTAAATCACTCCTCAGCAAATGCAAAAGGAGACCATAACAAACAGTCTCTAAGACCACACTGCAATTAAATTAGAACTCAGAATTAAGAAACTAACTCAGAATTGCACAACTTCATGGAAACTGAGCAACTGGCTCTTGAATGTTGACTGGATAAACAACAAAATAAAGGCAGAAATAAAGATGTTCTTCAAAATCAACGAGAACGAAGACACAATGTACCAGAATCTCTGGGATACATTTAAGGCAGTGTCTAGAGGAAAATATATAGCAATAAATGCCCACATGAGAAGCAAGGAAAGATCTCAAATCAACACCCTAACATCAAAATTGAAAGAGCTAAAGGAGCAAGATAAAAAAAACTCAAAAGCTAGCAGAAGACAAGAAATAACTAAGATCAGAAAAGAAATGAAGGAGATATAGACACAAAAAACCCTTCAAAAATTTAATAAATCCAGGAGCTGACTTTTGAAAAGATCAACAAAATAGACCACTAGCCAGATTAAAAAAGGAAAGAGAAGAATCAAATAGATGCAATAAAACAATAAAGGGGATATCACCACCGATGCCACAGAAGTATAAACTACCATCAAAGATTACTAGAAACAACTCTGTGCACATACACCAGTAAACCTGGAAGAAATGGATAAATTCCTGGACACTTGCACCCTCCCAATCCTAAACCAGGAAGAAGTGGAAACCCTGAGAGACCAATAACAAGGGCTGAGGTTGAGGCAGCAATTAATAGCCTACCAACTAAAAAAAGCCCAGGTCCAGATGGGTTCACAACTGATTTCTACCATACAAAGACAAGCTGGTACCACTCCTTTTGCAACTACTCCAAACAATCCAAAACGAGGGAATCCTTCCCAAATCATTTTATGGGACCAACATCATCCCGATACCAAAACTCGGCAGACTCAACAAAAAAGGAAAACTTCAGGCCAATATCCACGATGAACATAGATGCAAAAATCTTCAATAAAATACCAGCAAACCCAGTGCAACAGCACATCAAAAAGCTTATCCATCACGATCAAGTAGGCTTCATCCTGGGGATGCAAGGCTGGTTCAACATACACAAGTCTATAAACGTAATTCACCAAATAAACAGAACCAAATACAACAACCACATGATTATCTCAATAGATGCAGAGAAGGCCTTCAACAAAATTCAACAGCCCCTTACACTAAAAACTCTCAATAAACTAGGTATCGATGGAACGTATCTCAAAATAATAAAAATTATTTACGACAAACCCACAGTCAGTATCATACTGAATGGGCAAAAACTGGAAGCATTCCCTTTGAAATCTGGCACTAGACAAGGATGCCCTCTCTCACCACTCCTATTCAATACAGTATTGGAAGTTCTAGCCAAAGGAATCAGGCAAGAAAAAGAAATAAAGGGTATTCAATTAGGAAAAGAGGAAGTCAAATTGTCTGTATTTGCAGACAACATGATTGTATATTTAGAAGATCCCATCGTCTCAGCCCAAAATCTCCTGAAACTGATAAGCAACTTCAGCAAAGTCTCAGGATACAAAATCAACGTGCACAAATCACAAGCATTCCTATACACCAATAACAGACTTAAAGAGAGCCAAATCAAGAATGAACTGCCATTCACAATTGCTACAAAGAGAATAAAATACCTAGGAATACAACTTAAAAAGGATGTAAAGGACCTCTTTAAGGTAAACTACAACCACTGCTCAAGGAAATAAGAGAGGACACAAACAGATGGAAAAACATTTCATGCTCATGGTTAGAAAGATTCAGTATTGTGAAAATGGCCATACTGCCCAATGTAATTTATAGAGTCAATGCTATCCCCATCAAGCTACCTATGACCCTCCTCAGAGAAATGGAAAAACCACCTTAAATTTCATATGAAACCAAAAGAGAGCCCGCATGGCCAAGTTCGTTCTAAGCAAAAAGAACAAAGCTGGAGGCAACATGCTACCTGACTTCAAACTATACGAAGAAGGCTACTGTAATCAAAACAGCATGGTACTGGTACCAAAACAAAGACATAAACCAATGGAACAGAACAGAGGCCTTGGAGGAAAACGCCAAATATCTACAACCATCTGATCTTTGACAAACCTGATAAAAACAAGCAATGGGGAAGGGATTCCCTGTTTAATAAATGGTATTGGGAAAACTGGCTAGCAGTGTGCAGAAAGCAGAAACTGGACCCCTTCCTGACATCTTACACTAAAATTAACTCCAGATGGATTAAAGACTTGAACATAAGACCTAACGCCATAAAAATCCTAGAAGAAAACCTATGTAAAACCATTCAGGACACAGCATAGGCAAGGACTTCATGACTAAAACACCAAAAGCATTGGCAACAAAAGCCAAAATAGACAAATGGGATGTAATTAAACTCCAGAGCTTCTGCACAGCAACCAAAACAATCACTAGAGCGAACTGGCAACGAACAGAATGGGAAAAAATTTTTGCAATCTACCCATCTGACAAAGGGCTAATATCCAGAATCTACAAAGAATTAAAACAGATTTACAAGAAACAAACAAACAAGCCCATCCAAAAGTAGGCAAAGGATACGAACAAACACTTTTCAAAAGAAGACATATATGAGGCCAAAAAACATGAAAAAATGCTCATCAGCACTGGTCATTAGAGAAATGCAAATAAATCAAAACCACTTTGAGATACCATCTCATGCCAGTTAGAATGGCGATCATTAAAAAATCTGGAGATAACAGATGTTGGAGAAGATGTGGAGAAATAGGAACACTTTTACATTGTTGATGCGAGGGTAAATTAGTTTAACCATTGTGAAAGACATTGTGGCAATTTCTCTGGGACTTAGAAAAAGAAATTACACTTGATCTAGCAATCACATTACTAGGTATATAGCCAAAGGATTAGAAATCCTTCTATTATAAAGACACATGCACACGTATCTTCACTGCGGCACTGTTTACAATAGCAAAGATCTAGAACCAACCCAAATGTACATTGATGATATACTGAACAGGGAAAATGTGGCATATATGCATCATGGAATACTGTGCAGCCATAAAAAATGATGAGTTCATGTCCTTTGTAGGGACATGGATGAACCTGGAAACCATCATTCTCAGCAAACTGACACAAGAACAGAAAATCAAACACCACATGTTCTCACTTATAGGAAGGTGTCGAAGCATGAGAACACATGGACACAGGGAGGGAGCATCACACACTGAGGTCTGCTGGGGGGACTGGGGAGGGACAGCGATGGGTAAGGAGTTGGGGAGGGATAACATGGGGAGAAATGCCAGATATAGGTGATAGGGAGGCAGCAAACCACATTGCCATATATGTACTTAAAGTGCAATAAAATATATATATATATATAGAAAATTTATCTGAACTTACTTAATTCCTGAGTTTAGATAATGAAAGTTGAAACAAAGAGAGATACCTATATTCAAGAAGATGTTAAGGAAGAACATTTACGTATCATTTTCCTTTTCACATATGTGTTTGTAATTCTATCCTTCCCTCCCCTTTGGATTTTTTTATAGTAGGGATAGCACAATAACTTAGTTTAATTAGCAAAGATCATTTCAGTTTCCCCCAAGTCCAAATCTCTTCACACAGAATATTGTAGGAAGTTCCCAATCACCTCCAACAGTACGATGTAAAATAGGTTAAGTTGAACAAATATTTAAGTCAATAAGCTTGATACTGATGCGTTACTTTTCCTTATTCCGCAAGAGTTTCATAATGCATTATATACATTTCATAAACTTATGTAATTTACATACAGGGTTAACAAATTTATGAAATCATATATATGAGATGCCCCCATAATCCTCCTGAACAATTCAGAGGTATTCATCCCCAGCTTAGGTGGGTCTCTGTTTCTTGTACCCATTCCTTAATGCCAATATAACACTGCTCTGGGTTAACATTTTAGTCATTTCCAAGTTTTCTGACAAATTTTGCCAACATTCTATTGCAACTATTTTTCTAGCACATTATAATATGCTTCCACTGCTAGATACATCTAACAAAACAAGCTCTAGCAGCTATACTATGTCAGACAACTGGGGGAAAAACAGTAAAAAGGCAGAGCTCTGTAATAAAAAGTGTTATTTTCCACATCCATTGTATTATATCATAAAAATCTGGTAATCCCTCAATATAAAGAGTAATATTAATAAATCCAACTTTTTAAAGCATTTGTCAAGTAGAATATAAGAATGGCAATAATCTGAACTGCTCAAATTCAAATAAACAACTGATTTTCATGAATAATTTCATTCTTCCCTTATCAAAATCTCCTGTGATAAAGGCAGTAAATGGAAAAGCTTACAGATTTAGATTTCTTCTCTTTTTTCACATCATTCTCCATAGAAACATACTAGCAAGTATGATACTTAGAACACCAAAAGGGAAACAGCAGCACCCACCATTGTCCCCATAACAAAGAGGCATATTCAAGACATATAAAAAGAAAAATTTTAAGTCATTATATTAATTACTACTTTTATCTATTGGTAAGCCTAGCTGCATATTTTTCAAATTAAAAGAGGAACTAAAGGCAATACAATAGAACAAAGTCTGGTCTACTTTTATATCTAGAACTGAAGCACCAAAAGAGTCATTTCACCTGTGCTGCACATTTATAAACATATTTAGAATTTTAATATAATTTTCAAAGTAGGTTATATGTTTACACGTGGCAGAAATAAAAGGAGACTTCAGCGTTATAAATTTAACCTTGTATCCTACTGGGCTACCTTGATATTACATATTAATACTCTTTACAGACCCTATAATGACCTTGTGAGTATAGTTTAATTTCATTTTATAACTGTGTCTAAAGCCTAATTTACTATACAATTTAGAAGATAAAACAACTTTTATAACCCATTCAACCATTCAAAATGTAAAGTTGCTAAGTCTTTCTCAATCTCTTTCAGAGTTCCCCTTTCTTATTTTCTTAGTTGTCTTAGTCTTATTTAGTTTCTTCCATGTGTCTAGTTTCTTTACCTACCCCAGGGAGGGCATCAGAACTTAAACATTTTCAACCTCACAAGATTAATCTACCCAACTAATTAGGGACAAAGTATATAAAAGACCTTCAACCAGGCTAAAGCACTATTCAACAAACATAAAACATTAGTAATTATCTGACAAAGGACTTTTATCCAGAATCTATAACGAACACCTACAAATCAAAAGAAAGCCCAATTAAAAATGGGCAAATGACTTGAACAGATCCTTTAAAAAGGAAGATATATGAATTGTCTATAAAAACTGGAAAACATGCTGAATATCATTAGTCACCAGGGAAATGCAATTTAAAGCAAAATGAGATACCATTTCACACCCACTAGAATAGCTAGTAACAGACTGATAACACTAATTGCTCACAGGCATGTGGAGGAACTGTAACTCTTACATATTGCTATTAAGACTCAAAGAATACATTTTCTACAATAGTTTGGCAGTTTATAACATAAATAGCTTTTATATTTTATAATACAAATAGCTATTATATTTTATAATATATTTTAAATACACGTTGATCATATAACCCAGCAATTCTACTCCTAGGTATTTTCCCAAGAGAAATGGAACAGATGTCTAAAAAAAGACTTGCACAAGAATGTTCACAGCAGCCTCTTTAATAATCCCCAGCTATTTCTTATAACTCCTTTTAGAGAAAGTAGTAAGAAAGTACAAAGAATCAAGAATTATTCTTGCAATTTAACTCTGGGTGAATAGGAAAGCGTCAATGGCACTAATTAAAGGAGAACATGGGGGAAAAAAAAGAACAAGGTTTAAAAGAAAAATAAGTTTAGTTTTAGACTCAGTGACTTAAAATTTGTCCCAAAATATACACGTGGAGGTGTCTAGAAAATAGTAATGAAAGCGGGAAAGAGGCGGTGGCTCATCTAAACAGAAGTGAAGTGTTGAAGCCAGGAGAGGGAGTGAAATCTGGAAAAAAAAAAAGTATAGGTACATGTACATGTATATTTATATATTGCATATATATGTACATATAATTATATATATGTGTGTGTGTGTGTATATATATATCTGTATATATAAAATCTAAGAACACTGTCCTTAAGATATGGCATTCTAGGGACATTATGAAGATTAAATACTAAAGATGGAAAACAGAATTCTTAACTATTTTTGTGTAAGGACTCCTCTGGCAGTGTGGGGAAGCCCACAGGCTCTTTCTCTGAACTGTGTTTTTAAATGAATAAATATATAGGAAACAAACTATATTAAAATATAGTTGTCAACCTTTGTTTCGAAAAATTAAGATGTAATATATATACACCTCTTTTTAATGCATTAAAATATATAATCTAGTAGAAAGTCTAATATCTACCATAATTTCAAAGTAGTGAGAATGTAAAAAATAACTCAAGATATGATGTAAAAATGTTTATGATTTCTATTACTGGAACAGGTATTACTAATACCACTGTTGTTTGTTGTCTATGCTTACAGTTGAAGTAAATGCTATATTTCAACTAAAGGTCAATGGAAAAAAAACATAATTTTTTCACCCATTCAAGTTCATGGACCCATGAAATCCTATCCATGAAGTTTTGGGTGAACTATGGGAATCCCAGGTATAAGAATCTCTGAGCTAGAAAGTAAAATTAAAGAGATAAATAGTATCATGAGAATTACAGTAGCAAAGTAGTATATGCTGATTTTAAGTTGCAATGATAAAATGCTATATTCACCGCTTCATTTCTTCTAACTGTGAGGTAGATAAAGAGAGGCCAGAGGGCAATCTGCCAAGCAAAATAAGGAGAAAAGATTCAGAGGTTTCTGAATATTATCAGAAAAAGAAAACAAATGTTTAAAAATGTATCCCCATCAGAAATCATTGATAACCACCATAACATAGACTGCCAACACAAAAATTATTCTGTATCAATGTTCCCAGACATTCCACTCCCATTCTGCTTCATCTAGCTTCCACTTCCTATATAAGCTAACAATACATTCCACCATGCAAGACAAGTTCAGAAGAGATAAATGATAATGGCACAAGTCTTCCAGCTGCCCTCTTACTCTCAATATATGAAACACTTAATTATGGTAATTGAAAAGGAAGGGTAAACAATTTTCTTCTTATAGGGAAGCAGTCAAGCAATTTACTCTAAATATATTATCTCAATGTTCATATTTCTCTACAAAATAGTCAGGATTGTAGTGGAAATTTGACTAGAAATTAGTTGAAATGCTGAATCATTTCCCGTGATAGACTTTTTGTTGTTTGTTTTTGCCTCTTCAACAGTGATGACACTTGCTATTAAGTAGTATAAATCTCTGACCCATCAAAGGAGTCATTCAGATGTTGCCTTATTCCTATTACAGCCACCTTCAACACAGCTTTGAAGTTACTGTCTAGAGGCTACTGTGGAGAATTATAGTTAGGAGTGCCACAAATATTTGACTTGTTAAAACATAACCAATATAACAGTATGGTACTTAAGAGATGCCAAAATTTTTATATAAGCTTTTGGATCTGCTATAGCTGGGGCATTCCTAGGAACAAATGCAAAACAAAGTAAAAGTGTTAAAAAGCAGATCTGTTTCCAAAGAAAATCTAATATTTTGAAAATAGAGTGAAACCAAATAAGAGTAAAAAGTCTATTCTAGGGATAGTAGTTTACTTAAGTTTTGTAAGGACCACTATGAACTACTATAGGATTTAAATGTATTATTCTCTGGTCACAATAAGACCATGCAAAATATCTAAATGCTACAATAACAAGCAGAAAGGTAAACTGAGGAATTAGATTCAATAATCATCTAGTAGGACTCATACTGTTGCTCTACTTTATCTACAGAATGAGCCATAAAAGACATTCCCAAATGTTGCTTTTCTATCTTTAATTTTTAAATGGCATAAGACTGTAAGTAAAATGCAAACAAATTACTATTAAGGAGTATTAAAAAGAATCCTTTACCTAGAAAATACTGTAATAGGATAATTACAGAGGCACAGAGCTAGATTTCAAGTAGAGATCATCTTTCATTTTTATAAGTTATTAAAAATCAATGATCAAAACTCTAATATAACTATGATACTTGCTCAGGGTAATAAAAGATACTCAGAAAGTATATGTATTTTCTGCTCTCCACGAGTTAACAACCTAGTATGAAAGAATACAATATAAAGATTATATACTTCTCGAAAGAATATCTAGAGCAGGGGTCCACAACCTTTAGGGCACGAACTGGTACCAGTCCATGCCCTGTAAAGAACCGGGCAACTGAGCATAACTGCCTTAGATTCTCATAGGTTGTGAAGTGTGCATGCTCCTTATGTGAATCTAACTAATAACTGATGATCTGAGGTAGAAGAGTTTTATCCTGACACCATCTCCCTGCAACACCTTGCCTGAGAAAAAATTGTCTTCCACGAAACCTGTCCCCTGTGCCAAAAACATTGGGGACCGCTGATCTGGCAGCTCATTTTGTCTTCAGTTTCAACACCCCTGAGATGACAAGAGAATCAAGAGCTCATAAATTGTTCTCCCTACTGAATCTCCATTGTAGCCTACTATAACCAGCAATGTCCTCCTTGAGACTAAACACTCAACACTATAGCTTATTGATGTGTTCAGTGATCAACCTTGGTCCCACAACTCAACAAAGTAACTCAACCAGTATCTCATAAATGAAACAACTCTTCACTCTTCAAAGGGAATAAGGACAACATTAACAACTGAGCAATAAGCTAATCTTTAAAAATTGGTAGCACACAGAAAAACAAAAGTGAGAAAACGTTTCTTTACTCTCTCACACTTTATACCAAAAGTTACTAACAGTTGCCGATTTTTCTTCTGGAAGGCTTATGAGCTAGTTGGTTCAAAGGCTGGCAAGAATGAAGATTTACACATTGCTTACGTTGCTTTCACTTTGGCTTACTCTTTCACCACTGAGTATGGACTGCAAAGAATAAGTACAAAATCAAGGATAAAGTAAGTGAACATGGGCTTCCTGAAATTTCTTTTTGTTGTACAGATTTGGTGGTCTCAATGGTCTATGCAGAATGAGGAATATGCCAGGTCACAGGAATATAAAGAACACAGAATCATAGGATCTTGGCCTTTTATAGCATTTTAGGAGGGTTTTCTTTGGTGGAGGGAGGTTAAGGGGATACAGCCACATTATCATAAGAATCCATACCATTATCACAAAAGAAAACACACACACACAGTGGGATACTATTCAGCCTTAAAGAAGGAAATTCTGTCATTTGCAACAACATGGATGGAACAGAACATCATATGAAGTGCAGTAAGCCACACAGAAAGATAAATACTTCATGTCTTCACTTATATGTGAAATGTAAAAGAATCAAATTCAAGAAGCAGAGAGTAGAATAGTAGAATACAAGGAATAGAGAGTAGAACACAAAGGCTGGGGGTAGGCGTAATGGGGAGACAGGGTCAAAGGGTACACCATCTCAAAAGGAATATGGATTTTTTTTTCTGTTTAGATTTATTGCACAACGTGGTGAATAGAGTTAAAAATAGAGTACTATACCTTTCAAAATCACTAAGAGCGTAAATCGCCACCACAAAAACTAGTTAGGTATTTGAAGTGATGATGTATGAACTAGCTTGATTTAATTATTCCAAGTTGTGTTCATAAGTCACTTTGTACCCCATAAATTTATGCAATTTTAAATTGTCAATTTACAATAAAAACATTTTTTTAAAAAGACCAGCAGATGCATTACTCCCATATCACCATCTGTATAAGCTGTATTCTCACCAAGTAGAACAGATACCCACATGATAAAGGTTTTAGTTTCTTATAATCCTTTCTCTTTTTGGTAAAACACATCTAATTTATGTTCATATACAATGTATTACAGGAAATCTAAGAAGGAAACTTTAATTTTTGCCTGGAGGTAGTGCAAAGAAAAACAGGAAAGGGATCAGAGAATATAAAACATTTCTTCCTTGAAAGATGATTTAGAGTTTATCAAGCAAAGAGGAAATGGGAAGCAGCAAAAACACTGAAGTACACATAAACGTAACTGGATTTTAGTGTTGATACTAAGCAGCAGCAGCAAGTAAAAGGTTTTTTAAAGGAATAGTGGCTTTGTTTTAGGAGAAAATGAAAAGATAAGTATGTGGAGGGTTATGGTAAAGCCAAGAAAATATGAACACCTGCAGAGTAAATTAAATAAACAACATTTTAAGTAAAATCAATGAGACTGAGAGGACCCGGTAGATTTAGTTACTCAACAAGTATTTAGTGTGAAGTTTCTAATCAAGGTAACTGGGAGTATGGGTTATTTATATTAAGAAACTGGGCTATAGAATAGGATTTTAACCTTCTCATTTTTCTGGAGACTAGAATAGGAAACATTCATTACACATGTTTTGAGCATAAATATATGTGCTAAGTACTAGAAAAAAATGATAAAATATAAGACAGCATCTGTCCTCAAAGAATTCATATTTTAATGGAGGAGACAGGAGTAGAAGTCAAAAGGAATAACTAAAATTTTCCAGTGTTACACATACTACCTCCTTTGAAATTCTTGTGGGTTGTATCTGGAAGTAGATAACCTAGAAGCAGCCAGGAATATGAACTTGAAAAATCAGGACTAGTAATGCAGATTTTCTGTCACTAGGATGTGAGGGCTTGAAGCTTAAGGTTGTCCAGGGAGAATCCATAAATTAAAAGGAGGCTGAGAATTGAGCCTCAAGAGAAGAATAATATTTAAGGGATGAAACAAAGAATAAGACAATCTACCTTACCCAACTTATACCTTCTTCCTCATAGGAAAGGTAAAAAAAAAAAAAAAAAAAGAAAAGAGAAAACAGGAAACAATTTTCATAGAAGTAAAGAGAAATCAAAGAAAGTGGTATAGCAAAGGCCAAAGGAAAGAACATTTCCAAGAAAGAAACGAATGATCAACAAAGTCAGATACTGTAGGGGCTAAGCAGCCTAAGGGCTGAGAATGCGTCCTTGTTTTTGGCAAATGAAGGGGTTTAATGAACATCTGGTTTTGTATGTGTAGTGTCCAGCAACCAAGTCGCCTAATTTTGGTACCCTAACTCCCCCTTTTCCAGGGTTTTAGATAGCATGTAGAGAGCACCACAATCAAAAGCATACCCACTTCACCTGACAACTCGAGAATCTTATTTTTTATAAACCCGGTCTGTGTGGGCATATTCATTTTCTACAGTGCTATTCTCATATTTTAACTACATGTACACTCAATATGGAAGAAGCCAGATCCCTCCTCTCTTTCTCTGCCATAGTGGTGCTAAGGGTGGGCAGGCAGATGTTTTAGAATGGGCCAATTAAATGAATCCTCTTAGGACTTGGAAAAACGAACACATTATGGAAGCATAAACCTCAGGTTATGCAGACTTGTTTATTACAATGTGTCCTTGGCTGTCATTCCTCTGTATTCTTGGGTTTTTTTTATTTGCTAACGTTGGCCCTCTAGCCTTTAGATAATTGTGAGAACCCTGAATAGTCTCCCAATAACCCCCTTTTTCTTAACATGGGCTAAGTTAGTAACTTCAAATCAAGAACCCCGATACAGGAGCTATCCCTTTTCCTTTGCATTCTTATACTAAGGAAATTCTGCTCAACTGTTACCTCTATTGTAAAGTCTGTGTACAATATACTTTCTTCTCCTAACTCTTTATTCAAGTCAAATTATTTGTACTTCTTATAATTCCATAAATATCTATTTCTTGGGCCAGGCACAGTGGCTCATACCTGAAATCCCAGCACTTTGGGAGGCCGAGGCAGGCGGATCACCTGAGGTCGGTAGTTCAAGACCAGGCTGACCAACATGGAGAAACCCCATCTCTTACTAAAAATACAAAAATTAGCTGGGTGTGGTGGTGCATACCTGTAATCCCAGCTACTCAGGAGGCTGAGGCAGGAGAACTGCTTGAACCTGGGAGGCAGAGGTTGTGGTGAGCCGAGATAGTGCTATTACACTCCAGCCTGGGCAACAACAGTAAAACTCTGTCTCGAAAAAAAAAATTGTTTAAGTTCTTTGTAGATTCTGGATATTAGCCCTTTGTCAGATGGGTAGACTGCAAAAATTTTCTCCCATTCTGTAGGTTGCCTGTTAACTCTGGTGATGGTTTCTTTTGCTGTGCAGAAGCTCTTTAGTTTAATTAGATTCCACTTGTCTATTCTGGCTGTTGTTGCCATTGCTTTTGGTGTTTTAGTCATGATATCCTAAGAAAAAAACAAACAACCCCATCAAAAGGTCGGCGAAGAATATGAACAGACACTTCTCAAAAGGAGACATTTATGCAGCCAACAAACATGAAAAAAAGCTCATCATCACTGATCATTAGAGAAATGTGGCGAAATAGAAATGCTTTTACACTGTTGGTGGAAGTGTAAATTAGTTCAACCATTGTGGAAGACAGTGTGGCAATAGTTGAAAGATCTAGAAATAGAAATACCATTTGACCCAGCAATCCCATTACTGGGTATATACCCGAAGGATTATAAATCATTCTATTATAAAGACACATGCACATGTATGTTTATTGCAGCACTGTTCACAATAGCAAAGACTTGGAACCAACCCAAATGCCCATGAAAGATAGACTGGATAAAGAATATGTGGCACACATACACCATGGAACACTATGCAGCCATAAAAAAGATGAGTTCATGTCCTTTGCAGGGACATGGATGAAGCTGGAAACCATCATTCTCAGCAAACACAAGAATAGAAAACCATAAGTGGGAGTTGAACACTGTGAACACATGAACACAGGGAGGAGAACATCATACATCGGGGCATATACCATGGAATACTAAGCAGCCATAAAAAAAGATGAGTTCATGTCCTTTGCAGGGACGTGGATGAAGCTGGAAACCATCATTCGTAGGAAACACAAGAACAGAAAACCAAACATCACATGTTCTCACTCATAAGTGGGAGTTGAACACTGTGAACACATGGACACAGGGAAAGGAACATCATACACCGGGGACTGCTGGAGGGTGGGGGTATTGGGGAGGGACAGCATTAGGAGAAATTCCTAATGTAGATGACGGGGTGATGGATGCAGCAAACAACCATGGCACATGTGTGACTATGTAACAAACCTGCATGTTCGGCACATGTACCCCAGAACCTAAAGTGCGTGCGTGCATGCGTGTGTGTGTGTGTGTGTGTGTGTGTGTGTAAACTATTTCTTAAACTCTGTTGTAACCAATCACATTGCATTATAGTGTACTCAGCTGAAGAAGGCAATGATTCAGTGAAAAAGTTGAGTTTTTAAAGTACAGAATGATTTGAGAAATTTAAGAACTGTATAAACTACATAATTTGAGGATCACAGCTCAGTTAAATAGTTATTGCCAACAGTGAGGCTGTAGCAGCATTCCCTGGTTAATTTGAAAAACTACAATATTAATATATGCATTTAAACCTCTATGCACATTTTCAATCCTGATGAATGGGAACTTTCATGGGTGAAAAATTGCGACCTCAAATTTTTTTTAGACAAGGAAGAACAATATTAGAATATCAAGATGTCAAAGACAGCTCAACATCACTTTTTAAGTGCAAAGTGTAAAGATGATATTAAGCTATAACCTTTGTTGGTATACCACTTGAAAAACTGAAGAGCTCTTAAGGTTATGTTAAAGGAAAGTATGCTTGTTTTATGGTGTTCAAATCATAAAGCTTGAGTGTAAAAGTATTCAAGATGTTGTACAGAACCATCCTGTATTATTCATCAAGGAATATATGGGGAAAGAAAATCTTCCAAACAACACACTTCTGATAACAGACCATGCTTATGTACACCTCTTTCTAGTTAATGTTATTTTTGAAGAGAATATTTAAATGGACTCTTTTGCTTTTCAACTGAATGTCATTAATGCAGCCTATAGACAAAGGACATATCACATACTTCAAGCATATTAATTATGAATATCTGTTGTGGGGTGTTAACACATTTGACACTTCTTTAATGTAGGATTTAAGAAAGAGTTTTCATAAGATGATACTATCAGCCAATCAAGCTTGAAGGAAGTATTACCACAAACAATGAATGGAGTATAAAAGAATCTAGCATATATTTTGCTAACTTCTAGGAGTTGACAGAAATGTCAACTGTAAAGCAAAATGTCTTACATTTTGCTAATGGAGACTGAATTTAATGAAATGAGCAGTAGAAATGTTGAAGTTTATAATTGAAAAAAATCTTTCCACCGAATGTTCATTATTAGTCAGGCAAAGAAAAAGAGTCACAAATACTTGACACCGAATCTTAAAAAAAAAAATTAGACCACACAAATAAAATGCTTGTTGTTACAAGTAAGTTCAATCATGACATGAGACGACTCATCACATTAAAAAATAAAACTACAAATAGAGTACTGGGTGATCAGGAAGTGAAGTAACTTTAAACAGTTTATTCATTCTGAGGAGTTTTTTCATTCAGTTGCTCTGCCTGTGGCTCAGTTGATGATTCAGAACTACTTTCATGGATTCAGACAAGGATGAACCTCAGGAATCTATTTCTCTACTTCACCAGTTCACTGTGGCTTAACTTACTACCAAACAGAATGGGAGCTAAAGCCCCTATTTCTTTCTTTAACCACCACATTTCACTCAATCAACACTATCATCCATTAGTCAGACATTTAAAAAATTGTCTTCTTTATTTTGCTAAGTGCTACTGACAGTCATTAATTATCTAACATTATTTCATTATTTGCTTACCCTATAGTACCTGTTCTGGTCAAGTTATTAACTATTTCTTTGTATGTAAAGAAACACAGATAATCTTTAACTCCTCTTCCTGCTTTAAAATGTTACAATTTTAGATTGTTCTTTAGAGGAAAACAAACATTCTATAAAACTGAAGAATGGGAATTGGCAACTACCTACCACATGGCAAATCCATAATTTCTCAAAACTGCTATTATTTTAAGTTCTGAAATATATTTCCCCTAAGATCTCTATAGTTTGCTACCTCAACTTTTTTTATGTCTCTGCTCAAATGTCATCTGATTACCATTTATAAAAATGTAATCCCCATCTCCACTCTTTGTGCCCTCTTTCCATTTTGTCCCCACAGCATTTTTCTATATTCATATACAATTAGCATGTGAGAGTTTTGGGTGTGTATATATACACATTCAACCACAAGTATAATTTACTTGTCTATTATCTGCCTCCTTTCACTAGAACATAAAGGTCCATGAAGACAGGGATATTTTTTCTTTTGTTCAGTAGAACAGTGCCTGGCATGTAGTAGGAGCTTAGTAAATCTTTGTTGTATTAATGAACTACTCATGGACCAGAAATACATTTTATAAAGCCAAACATGCTAGATGTGCTGTGGGCGGGGGGGGGGGGGGGTCACAAATGGGGAAAAGAAAGAACTAAATTAGTAGCATTCAATAAAAGAACGCACAGGTGATAATACAGTTGGTGAGTTCATGAGTTATTCAAGAAAACTGGGAAAAATATCATTAAAAGGGCTTATTTAAGACAATATAATACTAACCAGTCATATAGCACATATTAGTTCTTCTGTTACTTCCACATAAAAGTGCTGCTTCCCATTCAGTACTTAAATATAAAGTATTTTGAACAGTATATATCGACTGCTAGATAATATATTAAATACAGGCTAATTGTACTGACTGCCATATTAGAGACAGAGCATATAGAGGAAGTATTACCTAAAGACAGATGGTAATTCAAAACATAGGGTCCCAAAATATAATTACATCTCTTTTGATGATCAGGTCTGCATTCCCACCTACTAAACTTTCTCAAATAAATTAGAATACTCAAAGAAATTATTTAGAAAAACTCCTAACCAATTATATAAAATAAATTTAAAAAACCTTTCTTTCTTCTCAAGAAATTTTTTTTGTAGTTGCTATAATCTATTATCAAATATGAAGGGTTTTAAAAAATTAATTAATAAATTTTTTAAAATTTATTTTACTTTAGGTGCATATTATATCTGGCATTTCTCCCCATGTTATCCCTTCCCACCCTCCTCTCCCTCCCCAGCCCCCGTTGTCTCTCCCCTACCCCTTGCAACTGTCCCCTGTGTGTGATGCTCCTCTCCCTGAGTACACGTGTTCTCGTTGTTCAACACCCACCTATGAGTGAGAACATACAGTGCTTGGCTTTCTGTTCTTGGGTCACTTTGTTGAAAATGATGGTTTCCAGATTCATCCAGGTCCCTACAAAGGACACAAACTCATCATTTTTTATGGCTGCATAGTATTCCCATGGTGCATATGTACACATTTTCTTTGCCCAGTCTATCATTGATAGGCATTTGGTTTGGTTCCAAGGTCTTTGCTATTGTACACAGGGCTGCAATGAACATACGTGTGCACGTATCTTTATACTAGAACGATTTATAGTTCTTTGGGTATATATCCAATAGTGGGATTGCTGGGTCACATGGAATTTCTATTTCTAGATCCTTGAGAAATCGCCACAATGGTTGAACTAATTTACACTCCCACCAACTGTGTAAGAGTGTTCCTATTTTCTCCACATCCTCTCCAGCATATGTTGTCTCCCGATTTTTTAATGATCACCATTCTAACTGGCATAATATCTCAGTGTGGTTTTGATTTGCATTTCTCTAATGACCAGTGATGATGAGCATTTTTTCATGTCTGCTGACCTCATATATGTCCTCTTTTGAAAAGTGTCTGTTCATATCCTTAGCCCACTTTTGAATGGGGTTGTTTGTTTTTTTCTTGTGTATCTGTTTTAGTTCTTTAGTTCTGGGTATTAGCCGTTTGTCAGATGGGTAGATTGCAAAAATTTTTTTCCATTCGGTTGGTTGCCGATTCACTCTAATGATGGTTTCTTTTGCTGTACAGAAGCTCTGGAGTTTAATTAGATCCCATTTGTCTATCCCGGCTTTTATTGTCATTGCTTTTGCTGTTTTAGTCATGAAGTCCTTGCCTATGCCTATGTCCTGGATAGTTTGGCCTACGTTTTCTTCTAGTGTTTTTATATGGTGCTAGGTTTTATGTTTAAATCTTTGATCCATCTGGAGTTAATTTTAGTGTAAGGTGACAGGAAGAGGTCCAGTTTCTGTTTTCTGCACATAGCTAGCCAGTTTTCCCAATACCATTTATTAAACATGAAGTCCTTTCCCCATTGCTTGTTTTTGCTGGGTTTGTCAATGCCTGCATCTGTTCCCCTCAAATTTAAACATTTATTCCAGAGGTTATTAGGGATGTACAAAAGCACTGAAAGAATAATGACTAAACGTTTCTGAAAGGAATTCAGAATCACTTATATTTTCAGTATGTTTGGCCGATCCCTAGAATATCTTAGAATATTAGCACTTACTTGTCACCTGCCAGGACTCACTCATGTTTGTCTAAAGGTCTAACATACTGCAGTTGAGTTACATTTTTAAAAAACAAAGGCCATCATGATTTTAAAGCATTGCTTTTATTCTGAAAACATTTCTTTTCTAAAAGGTTTAAATGCATTCAATTAACTTACTGAGTATTAATGTTGCCAGGTACTATTCTAGGTGCTAGGGATAACACAAAATCCCTGCCTATATTGTTCTTATATTCCAGAAGCAGTGGCAGACAAACAGATTTTAGGAGGAGTCAGGGAGGCTTAAAAAAAAAATAATGGGAAAGAGTGACTGAGATGAATTTTCAATAGGGTGGTCAGGGCAGCACATTATCAGCAGAGGGGCAATATTTGATGATATGAAGAAATTGGCAATATGTACTGGTAGAAACAGGATTCCAGACAGAGGTAACAGCAAGTATAAAGATCCTGAGAAGAGAATATGGTTAAGAGAATTTGAGGAAAAGCAAAAAGCCAGTAAGTATTCAAGAGAATGAGCAATAAGATGTGGTCAAGGAGGAGGCAGAACTAGACCACACAGAGTCCTTGAGAGATTTTATTCTAAATACATGTAAAGCCGCTAGATGTTTTCGAATGGAGGAATAATGATCTGGTTGACACTTTAGAAACACCATTTTTCTTTTTGTATAGAAAGCTGAATTGTTAAGAAGGGGGAAAAGTAGAAACCAAAGGACCAGTTAGAACGCTCTTTAGTAGAATAACCACACCGGATAGGCCTTAGATTAGGGTAGTAGCAATGGAAATGATGAGACATGGTCAGATTTAGAATTGATTTGAGGGTAGAGACTTAATAATAGGTTTCACGTGGGCTGTAAAAGATACTGCCAAAGAAGGCTCCTCCTGGCCTTTTGGCCTGACCAACTGAGTCATGAGTGATACCTTTCACAAAAATGGAAAAACCTGGGGAAGGGGAATAGATTAAAATAAAGTTTTGGACAGGTCATTGTGGGATGGCTATTAGCCATTGTAGTGAAGAAGATCAACTAGGTAGTTAGATATAAGAGTTGGTAAAGTAGAAGGAAAGGTTAGGATTAGACTGAATATGTAATTACCATCAGCACACACATGATAATTAAAGTCATAGGACTGAATGAGGTCTCACCAAGTGAGTGGATGTTAATCATGAAGAGAAAACAGCTGAGGACTAATTCTTAGGGTTCTTTAACATTTAAAGGAAGAATCATAACATTTAAAAGAAGAAAACCAGTAAGAATCATGTGAAAGAAGCAATTTGTGAGAAAGGCAAAAAAAAAAAAAAAAATCCAAAGGGTATAATTTTCCAGAAACCAAGAAAGTGATCTGTTCTATCAAATGATGCTGAAAGGCTGAGATGAGAACTGCCTGGCATTCCTTTGAATAGGACAAGATGTAATTATCAGTGAAATTGATAAAACAAGTTTAGTGGAGTCATAGGAAAAAAAGTCTAACTAGGATGTATGTAAAAGAGAAGGGAAGGTGGAAAGTGGAGATGGCAAAAGTATGGACAATAACAAACATTATTACTAATTACCTACTGCATGCTAGTCCTCAAAAATTCATTTACTCATAGTGTTTATATTCTAGCAGAAGGCAACAGATAACAAACAATAAATAAATTAAGTAGAGCATACAGTATAATAGAAGGTGATTCTGCTACAAAAAGGAAGGAGAGTTTTTAGTTGGTGGAGGTTTGAGGAGAGAGAGATAAAATAACCACCTATAAGAGAGCAAATGGACTAGATAAAGGAGACTCAGAAAAACAGCATGACTGGATGTTTTCCTCTTGTCATGTTCAGCTATTCCAGAGTAAGTGTGTAATAACTGAGAACTGAATTAAAACACAGAAAAGGTTCTGAGTGTCAAATATGACAAAGGCAAAGAGAGGAAAGGGAGTTAAGATTTTATATGAAAAATGATCACAATTTTCAAGCACAGTATGTGAGCTGAATAATGAGAGAAGTGAAATCATGAGGCGATAAACAGTGAAAGTGGTGTGGTCTACAGATTAAAGGCTGCAATGAGGTAAAAGAAAAAAAAATTTAATACCTGCACAAATAATCCCATTAAAAAGTGGCCAAATGATTTCAATAGACATTTTTCAAAACAAAGCTCACAAATGGACAACAGGTATATGAAACAAATGTTCACCATCACGAATCATCAGGGAAATAAATGCAATTCAAAACCACCATGAGACATCATTTTACCCCAGTTAGGCTGGGTATTATAAAAAAGACAAATAATAACTAATGCTGGCTTATATGTAGAGGAAAGGGAACTCTTTTACAGTTTGTGGGAGTATACATTGTATAGTCTTTATAGAAAACAGTAGAGAGGTTTCTCAAAATCTACAAATAGAACTACCATAAAATCCAGCAACCCTACTACTGGGTATCTATCTAAAGGAAAAGAAATCAGTATATCAAAGAAAGGAAATCAGTGTATCATGTATCCCCACATTTACTGGAGTACTAGTCACAATAGTCAAGTTATGGATTCAACCTAAGTGTCCACAAATGGATAAAGAAAATGTGATATATCTACAGAATGGAATACTATTCAGTCATAAAAAGAATACAATCATGCCATTTGCAGCAAAATGGATGGAACTGGAAGGCCATTTGCTAAATGAAATAAGCGAGGCACAAAAGGACAAATATCACATATTCTCATTCACATGTGGGAGCTTAAGAAAACACTGACCTCATGGAGGTAGAGAGTAAAATGATATTTACCACAGGCTGGGAAGGGTGGTGGAGAGGAGATGAAGAGGTTGGGTACAAACGTACAGTTAGATAGAAGGTATAAGTTTTAGTGTTTGGTGGCATAGTAAGGTGATTACAGTTAATAACAATATATTATATTTTTCAAAATAGCTAGATTTCAAAAAGCAAAGATGTGAAATGTTCTCAACACAAAAAAAGTAACTATTTGAGGTGACAGATATTTAGTTATTACACATTGTATGCATGTATCAAAATATTGCATGTATCTTGTAAATCTGTATAATCTGTACGATCAGCACATGTACCCCAGAACATTAAGTATAATTTTACAAAAATAAAAAATAAATACTGGAATGAGAGTATTGGGATAAGATGTCAGTCTGAAAAAGGGATAGGTAAAATTGGATTTGGGAGGTGATAAAGGTATAAGAATATGGGAAAAAGTGGCTAGAATACACAAAGGGAAAAAAAGCACTGGAAACGAAGAGATCAAGTAACTGAGAGGCCAGGGTGTTAGATGTATCAGCTACACAGACTTTGAAGTCAATATGAGCTATGATGGGAATAGTATTTGGGAGGAAGAAAGTAAAAAGCCTGGTAGATATGGTAATGTAGATAGAATACTTTAATGTCATGTGCTTCAAAGAAGGTCATGTTTTCGAGCAAGTGGGGCAGATACAAAGATCTTGCAGGTTGCCTGCCAGTTGCCTCCTAATGTTACATAAAGTAAGGAATTAAAAACAATCAGCAGGTAAGAAGCTACAAAAGCATCCTTTATGAACACATAGGTTTCCATTATAGCAATAAAGAAAGAGGAACACTTAGAGAAGAGACTGAGGAATTCTGCTGATGAAAGACCAAAGTTCCAGAAGACACAGTAGGAAGAATTTGGGTGCTTGTAAAAGGGTAGAGACTGGGAAGAACTAGGGAATTAAAAAGTCAAAGGAAGATGAGAATCTGGGTGATGATGGATGATCTGGTAGATTTCCCTTAATTCCTTCTATGGATGGAATTGCAACGAAAAGCGAGATTTTTATCAGAAACGTAGGAAGTCTTAAATCCAGTTCTAATTTTGAGTGTGTTCTTCGAATTTGTTTACTATCTTACAAGTACCTATTAAGAAAAGAAGAAAAATCTTTTCATGAACACCTCTGAATGCAGCTCATAACAGTATATGAGTTATTTTATGGGACTTAAAATTCCCTGAGAGTTCCAGAAAGGGCAACACATAGTAGAAATATTCAAAGTATGACCACAATGATGACACAAAGTAACACTTATATGAGAAACACTTAAGGCCTGAATGAATCATGTTAAATTTACATAGTCAATCAAGGATGTCTGCATTTAGAGAAAAGCAATCTAAAGGATTAACACTACCTGTTTTAAAGAAATCAATTACTTTATCATCAGGCATATAACCCAACTGATTAGTGAACCATACTAGTTTTTATATCCTGCTATAGTATAAAACAAAAACATGAACAGTTTGAAAGAAAACGGGCCTGTGTTCCCAAAAAGCATGGAAAACTTTAATATAAAACTTGGCTACCAATTAATTTAAGGGTAAAGACTTCATTAATAAGAGCTTTCAACTAACAGCATCAAATCCATCAAGAAAGTCAAATCCATCAAGAAGGTCTTCAGAAAAAAAAACACAGAATTGTGAGTACATGAATGCTAAACATATATGGGTATTAAAAGAAAGCAGGAAAAACATACTACATTTTGATAAAGTATGGCTTTGTTTTATTATATAGATAGCAGTATGATTTGCTGAGCTACTATGTATATATTATCTGTCCAATTTAGTCAAGTCCAGTAGCCTTCATTTTAAAAACAAAAGATGAGACATTTTCCTGAATCACAAGCCAGTGACACAAACATTTCAGGTGATTAGAGAATCTGCAGCTAAAGGCCAAAATAACTTAGTTTACATTTTATAAGGATACCTGTGAACAAGCCATTTTATATCTATATGCCTACATTTATCAACATTCCAAGCAAACTGATATTCAAACTATACACAGTAATACTTTAAGTACAAAGCTGAGAAAGGTAAACTATATGTACATACAAAATAATTTACTTCTTCAAAACAGAAGAAATGAAGTACTAACACTACTGAATATTTAGAGAAACTGAAAGATATCTAGGTATAGTTTATCTTAGTACTCATTTATTCACCAAAGAAATATTAACTCAGGACCTAAGATGCAGGTACTGTCTTAGTTGCTGAGATTTTGCAAGAAACAAAACAAAGTCCCTGTTATGGAGATTTGACTACTCTAGCACTCTAGTTAATTTTAGAGTTAACCTCTTGAAGGAACTCAATTTTTAAACATTTCTAAAGTAAAGAACACACAAAACTAGTTAAAAGTTTACCTTTGTCCTAGAACATCCTCCTCTTTGCATTCAACTTATTCAACCCTGAAAAAGAGTATTTTTGACTAGCTTCAAAATACAATGAATTGCCTGAGCTGAATTTAAGTAATAAGCTTCCACCATTTCTGAGAAGGTTTAATGACAGTGGCATTCCTACAAACTACCTATTATTAAGCACTGTAAGGGATTAATCACTGAAATTGTTCAGAAGCCATATGAAGAAAAAATAGAAATCTATGAGAAATACAGAGTATTCCTTATAGTTCCTCTCTAGCCTGCTTAATTCAAATAAAATAATTCTAACCCTAGTATGCTAACTAGCAGAGAATGGGAAGTGTTTTCTACCTAGTACATAAAAGAATCTAGGTGGTCCTCACACAGAACACTGTTTATTTTTTGAAATTCTCCTGAATGGCTCAAATATTCATCACACAGAACTAAAAATCATGTTATATAACTTCTCTGAGCTTCATTGTTCCTATCTGTTAAACAGTATCTACCTCTTAATATTGTTTTGGCATCAAATGAGGTACAGCATTAAAAAGGTTTAGTGCTCAATCATAACCGATGATACAAATCATCATCATTATTCCAGTGATATTCTCAATAATAATAGGTTATATTTTTGAAAATAGGTAGTGATATTCTCAATAATAATAGGTTATATTTGTCATTAGCACCATCTCAAAAAGCGTAAGTTGGGAAAGACAGTAAGTTCGTTACCAAAAGAATATTAAAAGATTTCTTTATGTTTTAGCAAGATGATCAATATGCACATGTTCCTCAAACTAAGCAAAAGATTTCAAGTCTCTGGAATATTAATGCCACCCATAACCACAATCCCTAAAAATGACCGCATTTGGGATATTTTCAGGGTAAAAAATCTGCAATAAAAAGATATTTTAACAATGTGTTATATGCTACTCCAAAGACTCAGAAGTATTTCCTGCCTTTAAAATCATACTTCTTGCCTTTTACTTCAAAGTAGAGTTAACAGTAGAACTCAAATGGCAAACTAATAAAGGAGTTAAGACCATTTAAAAGATATTGTTATTATATTCGAGCCCCATCTTGGTCAGATCATTTGGAAATCTCTAAAATTATTTTACTGAAAGCAAATTTTAAAAGCCCAAGTAAACACATAGAAAAACCTTTATGGTTAATTAAATCTGGAAAGTGATGTTGAACTACAAATAAAGAAGTTAACAAAGGCCTAAAACAAAGCAAAAGCACTAGGAAGAATCTTTAATTAAAAACTCTGCAGTCTTTCAAAAGATGTTGAAATCCAGAAACGGGAGAGGTCACTAAATATCCAAGAACACTCACCCAACCATTGGTAGGAGACCTCTTGGAGACCCAGATGCTTGAATCAGCTGAAATAGTACCAAGTTTTTACTGATTACTCTTCACAGGGCAATGGAGCATAGGCTAACTCCATACTATCAAAAATTAAAGGCTACTATTATTGATAATTCTAGTTATTACCATTATAAATGACTCAAAGGAAATGGAGACTGAGGAATGAGTTCCAAGGTAAATGAAACTTACTGTGTGTATGTGTGTAAATGTGTATATTTCTTCCAGTTCCTTTAGTGATACAAGTCTGATAACAACATAATTCTTCCTGTAAGTAAATACTAACAGAATAAAATTTTCTAAATTAATTGTAAAATCCTTTTTCTAAAATAACTATAAAATAAGTTATGAAATCCTTAAAGAAAGCATGTAAAATTACTGTTTTAAAGAGATGGGGTCTTGTTACCCAGGCTGGCCTTGAACAACTGGGCTGAAGCAATTCTCCCACCTCAGCGTACCTATTAGCTGGGACTATAGGCATGTGCCACTGTACCTGGCTGTAAAACATTTTTAACACTGTACTAAAAATTTTGAAAAAGGAATTTGATTTTCAAAGATAATGCTAATTTCTCAACAGTAATACACAGGAAAAGATTTTCCATCCCCTGCTCTTAAAAATAATAGTTCTTAATTTTAGGCCTTTAAATTATACAATCACTCTTCTAATAAGATGATTTCCGTATTTCAACATATACAAGAACTTAGAATACTTAAGACTAAACAAAACTCTTATCAAAGGCAAGTACTATTTTAAACATTATTGATTTAAACATGAAAGTTATCAATTTAGTAGAAAAATATCTGGTGACATCTCATTGAAAAAAGGAGTAAAATAGGGTCAACAAGTAGATGATGACAATATGGTAATGTTTTCTCAATCCCAAAGCTGAGAGAGAGGATAATCCCCCAATCTAAACACACACCATAACTTACTTCAAAGGTCCGGGTGGTAAAAATAAGACACTCTATTACTGTGGGAACAGCCAAGAAAAAACATGACAGGTTCTACATTTCTATAATTCTCCCAAGTAACTAAAATATAAAAACTAATTCTGCTTGATATGTGTGTGTCAAGTAAGGTAACAAGTAAAACAAGAGCTATTTGGTTTGAGTAGTTTAGAGAGACAAGAAGCAAAAAAGAACATAGATATTTTAATGTCTACTAAGAAAATTCAAGCTACCAAACAAATACTGAAATAGCAAGTCAGCAAATACACTCCAACCAAGCTGATAAGTGATTTAACCATTATATTAACAGGTATAGCTTTGCAATATAATATTATATATCTATAACTTATTGAACATCAAACAAATTTTGAATGGTTCAGAACAGCAGTACAATAAGGAAGACCAGAAGCATAAGAAAATATTTTAAAGGTGCCTACAGTAGATGAGGAAAATGTGAGATAAAGTCAGAGAGATATCTGAAAATAGAACGCTGAACAGGAATGCCTAATACAAGGCTAGTATAATGATTGAGACTCTTACTCTCCCTAAAAATATAAAGAAAAATTAAGAATAAAGAAAGAAGTAATAAAGAATGAAGTAGAGAGGTTGACATATAAAACTTTTGTGTAAACAAAATTCAAACATTTTATATCTCTACCGCAAATTTCGTATGAGAAAGCATACCAATATTACCTTTCTTTCGAAAGAGTGCATTTAGGTAATTTTCTGCTTGGCATTCAATCTTATCAGTGTTGGACTGGCCCTGAGATGATAGCTCCTCTGTTGGTGTTGACTGTGAAGAATCAAGAGATGGTATACAATCCTAAAAGTACAAGAAAACAACAACATACAAAATCATTTTTTAATTCAAACATGGAATTCCATTAAAAATGAGAAAAAAATAATGCTCTAAATGCTCATTTGTTCTACCCTTTAAGTTATATCAAATTAGATAGAGGGAACAAAAAATTCAGAATAAGAATCAGGAAAAAAGAAGTAGCTACAATAGAGGGTCAAAATAACCTATTCCTTAGCAAAACTATAGTAAAAAAAAAAGAGCATATAAAATATACTGGTGAATAAATTCACTATACTGGCACGCCAGTAATGTAATCCTATCAGAGAGTTTTAACAAGAAAGCAGATGTGTTTACCCACTAATTGGATCAAAATCAGTACAGGTTCTTAAGTTCTCATTTCTTCTCCGCCCTTATCACAATGGTAGAAAAGAAATCAGGATTTCTCACCAAACAAGAAGATGCTGGTTGCATAGTTTATGCCCTGTATACAGTAAACACTTACATATTTCATCATTTACACAGGAGATAATTATGATATCCAAAAGACTTCCAGAGTAAGTGAAAGGCTAAAACTAGCACATTATACCCCTACTATTAATTGCTAAGAAATCAGACTGTAGAGTGGTCTCAGACCAAAGTAGGCCTTCAAGCTTACCCCTCTATACCTAAATATAAAATAGACCTGAACTAAATTTCATGAGTCAGAGAACAATAAGAAAGAAATGTGAAGTAAATAAGTAAAAAAAGATGAGATTTCTAGGATTTTTCAGCTGCAAGTTAAGCTAAATGTTAGACTTCTAATGTAAGACTTTAAAATATTTTTGTTTACCAAAATCAAATATTTAAACTTCCACTGTGAGTCACAACTTTTCAAAACAAATTAAGATTTTAAAAAAACTGTGTTACAATTGTGCATTAATTTAAAGATAATTTCACAGTACTAAAACTTACACTGACTGCTTCTCTCTGTAGGTTACAAAATGAACATTTTTCATCCATAGACCAGTCAGTCAGCTCTTCTGGTTCACAGTCTTTAAAAGAGGGAAAAAATTCATTAAATATGCTAACTTTATTAAAACAAATAAAATTACCTCTCTCCACAGCAATGGCTCAAATAATACTAAATTTTTAAAAACTAACTACTAACAGTAAGGGGAGAAGAACTAACTTTAAAATTAAACTCAGGACATCTAGAAAGAATAAACAGAAAAGGCTGTAAGGAGAGTAATATGCACTATGATAGGATAAAATAGCAAGAACAATGAGCTAGTTATAAATTAATTTTCCAACAATAGGGTTTTAAGTATCATCTAACTTTCTGAAAGATTAGATTTATCCTTGTGCTTCAACTTTATTTTTGCTATGAAAGAAATCAGAACAAAGGGAGAGATATGTGGAGGAAATAAATTTTGTACACCAGGAAAGACAACAGAAAGTAGAGAAAGAGAAGAAAGCACCAGAAAAGCCCACAGATATCAGAATATGGAATGATGCCCAAGAAAACAAGTAAAACTCCTTATCTCAAAAGTCAGAACAGATTTTTATCATATTGTTTAAAGGCTTTGTTGCAAGAGTTAGAGTAAAAATTGTAAACAAATAAGGTATATTATTTAATATAAAATATGGAATTTTTTTCCAGAAGAATATTCCTTATAATCTAATCTACCTACATAAACTTGGAAACAGCAGGGATTAGCAACTAAGATGTAATATAGGGTAATGAAAAAATAAATAACTGGATTTGAATTCTCTGAAAATGTGGGGTGGAATCCCACTTACTAACCTTTGCAAGCCACGAAGTCATTTGAATTACCTCACATGCAAATAAGGATCACATCATGTATGGATTAAATGAAAAAATGTAAAAATACTTTATAAACTATGGAATACCATAAAAAGGCCGGTTATAAACAAGATAGAATTACCAGTCATTATTATTTTTTCTTTTTTGTTAATTATACTATAGGTTCTGGGGTACCTGTGCAGATCATGCAGGAGTGTTGCAAAGGTACACACATGGCAATGTGGTTTGCTGCCTCCATACCCCATCACCTACAACTAGCATTTCTCCCCATGTTATCCCTCCCCGACCTCCCACCCACCCGCTGTCCCTCCCTTGGCCTCTTCAACAGACCACAGTGTGTGATACTCTCCTGTTTCCCTGTGTTCTCATTGTTCAACACCCACCTGTGAGTGAGAACATGTGGTGTTTGATTTTCCGTTCTTGTGTCAGTTTGCTGAGAATACCAGTCATTATTTTTTAATCCTATTATAATTGTGCATGTATTTAATAAGATCAGTTTGCAGAAATATTTTTTTTCTTGAGAGGGAGTCTCACTCTGTCACCCAGGCCGGAGTGCAATGGTGCAATCTTGGCTCACTGCAACCTCCGCCTCCCGGGTTCAAGTGATTCTCCTGCCTCAGCCTCCAAAGTAGCTGGGACTATAGGTGCCCACCACCACGACCAGCTAGTTTCTTCTGTGTTTTTAGTAGAGTCTGGATTTCACTATGTTCGTCACTTTACACAAATTTTAACTCCAGTTGGATTAAAGTTTTAAGCATAAGACCTAATACCATGAAAACCCTAGAAGAAAACCTAGGCAATACCGTTCAGGACATAGGCATAGGCAAGGACTTCATGACTAAAACACCAAAAGCATTGTCAACAAAAGCCAAAATAGACAAATGGGATATAATTAAACTCCAGGGCTTCTGCAGAGCAAAAGAAACAATCATTAGAGTGAACCAGCAACCAACTGAATAGGAAAAAACTTTTGCAAGCTACCCATCTGACAAAGGGCTAATATCCAGAATCTACAAAGAACTAAAAAAGATTTACAAGAAAACAAACAAACCAACCCATTCAAAAATGGGCAAATGATATGAAAAGACACTTTTCAAAAGAAGACATATATGAGGCCAACAAACATATGAAAAATTGCTCATCATCACTGGTCATTAGAGAAATGCAAATCAAAACCACACTGGATACCATCTCACAACAGTTAGAATGGCAATCATTAAAAAATCTGGAGAGTATAGATGCTGGAGAGGATGTGGAGAAATAGGAATGCTTTTACACTGTTTGTGAAAGTGTAAATTAGTTCAACCATTGTGGAAGACAGTGTGGTGATTCCTCAAGGGTCTAGAAATAGAAATACCATTTGACCCAGCAATCCCATTACTGGGTATATACCCAAAGGATTATAAATCGTTCTTTTATAAAGACACATGCACACATATGTTCACTGCAGCACTGTTTACAATAGCAAGGACCTAGAATAAACCCAAATGCTCATTAATGATAGACTAGATAAAGAAAATGTGGCACATATACACTATGGAATATGATACAGCCATAAAAAAGGATGAGTTCATGTCCTTTGTAAGGACATGGATCAATCTGAAAACTATCATTCTCAGTAAACTGACACAAGAACAGAAAAACAAACACTGCATGTTCTCATTCATAGTTGGGTGTTGAACAATGAGAACACACAGATACAGGGAGGTGAACATCACACACTGGGGTCTGTTGAGGGTGAGAGGCAAGGGAGGGGATAGCGGGGGGTGGGGAGGTTAGGGAGGGATAACATTGGGAGAAATGACAGATGTAGGTAACAGGGGGATGGAGGCAGCAAACCACCATCACATGTGTGTATCTATGCAAAAATCTTGCAAGATCTGCACATGTACTCCAGAACTTAAACTATAATAAAAAAAACCCAAAAAGTTTAATTAAGAAAACTGGTCACTTTCTGTAATGACCTGACAAACCAGAAAGTTTGAACGATCTATACAATTAAAAACCCATCTCCTATAGAACTGTAGCTATGTAGGCTTATGTTGGTTTCAAACTTTCATCCCCTCACTAGGACAGACTCACCATACAACATAACAGGAACTTGGGACCTAACACTCGAATATGTTATTCCCCATTCATAGCCTGTAGTCCAGCTGAACCAGATCACCCATAAGCGTGCAAAAGATTTTGGAGTTGTTTTGGAAATACTGTGCTAAAAACATGACTCATATGCTAAGCATAACATAATTTTGTTAGGTCAAGGAAATCTTACTTCTTTTTCTTTTTTAATCAGTGCCTCATTAAAGAATTTTTTAAAAAATAGCTTATAGACTTGGGGAAGTGGTATTTTTGAAAAATAGTTGTTAAGGTTTCATAAAGTTTCAGTGATAAATATGCTGAATCGAGGGCCAACAATTTTAGATTAATTAAGACAATTGCCAATTGTAAGGTAATATTAAGGCATGCTGAGATTGTCACTCATTTGTTATTTTAGGAGTTCTTCGAGAAAATGTTAATTACAACAAATGCCTACAGAGTCAAATAAATGGCATTCAATAATCAATTGAATATAAAGACCATTACATTTCTCTGAGATCAAAATGTATAGCTTTACTTATAATGACTCTTTCTATATTACTTTTGATTTTGAAACCAAACAAATGATGTTTGGTGGGATAAATTTTTCTATATGGGAAAATAGCTTTTGAAAAATCAACTCTAGGCCAGATCTCTACTCTTCCCAAGTTATGTTTCATGTCATTAAAAATTAAATAAATGCTGAAAAACATTCATTTTATCTCAAACAAAACCTCACAGTGAATAAGATATTCATCTCTATAAGATGTTATCTCTGTTTTTGATAACATAAACTCAAGGTTAAATTATGTATCTTAGAGAAATAGCTTTATTAGTAAAAGGTAATGTCATAACGAAAACTAACAATAAATGAAAGACAAAGATCAACCTTTCCACCATGGCTATATACTCTTATAGTTAAAATCTGACTTGAATCATTTTATCTAATCCAGAGTTTGCCATCAGAGAACCCTGGTACTGAACCATGGGCTTTTCTACATACTCATGTGGCCTCAGTCAGGCAAGTTAATTTCGCTGAGTTTCAGGTTCTTTGTTTGAAAAAGAGAATGATAATTGCATGTTAAGGCTGTAGTAAAAACTAAAGCATGTGTTAAATATCCTCAAAAGATGTTATTTTCATTTTCTTCTAAATAATCTCATTATTAATAATTTGAGTGTTTTTATGCTTTTTGTACCCTTTATACATAGGCTATAAATTTAGTGACAAAGTTCAGTGAAAAATGAAAATGAAGAATACTGAGACAGATTTTTCATGAAGATAATGAAACACGGGTTATAACTGTGTTGGTTTCAGAGAAAAGATACTGATCAGTAAGGCAATACAACTAAAAAATAATTTTTCATTATGAAATTACATATTAACTATATTGAAAAGTACAAAGGAGAAAAGAAAAATTATTCATAATCCCATCATCCGAAGACAATGATTAACATGTTGCTATAGATCCTCTAGTTTATATTTTATGCCATTTAAAAAACTAACATCAGCTGGTTCTGTGTGGACAAAAAGTCAGTGAAATTAATAAACCTCTAGCCATGCCTGGCTAGCCACTCAAGAAAAAAAGAGAAAACACAAATTTTTAATATTGGAAATGAAAGACTGGCCATCACATTGATCATATGGACATTAAAAGAATAATAAAGAAATATTATGAACAACATCATGCTCACAAATTTGATAACTTTAAATAAAATGGACCAATTCCTCAGAAGACATAATCTACTTAACACAAGGTAAGATAGATAACCTCAACAGCCCTATATCTATTAAAGAAATTAATAATTAAAAACCTTCTGAAACAGAAAGTACCAACCCGGATGTTTTCTGTCATCTGTCTCTAAAAATAGCAGCAGGGGAAACATTTCTTCACTTCCTCTATGAATCCATCATTGCCCAAATATCAAAATTTGTCTGAATAGACACATCATCCAGAAGATATACAGTGGCAACTGAGCCTATGAAAAGATGCTGAATATCATGTCATTAGGGAACTGCAAATTAAGGCAATGAAATATCACTATATACCAGTTACAATGGTTAAAATCCAAAACACTGACATCAAATACCGGTGAAGATACAGAGCAACAGGAACTTTCATTCACTACTGGTGGGAATGCAAAATGGTACAG